ATGTGAACACGGATAGTGCAACTTCGAAATGCGACTTTGCCAGAGGTGTCATCTATAATAATTTAAACCCTTTTATTAATAGTGAAGGTTAAGGTCTATAATAATTTAAACCCTTTTTTTAATAGTGAAGGGTTAAGGCAAGTCGAGTGATATCCTTTTCCTTAGGTAGGGACAGTTTATTGGAAAATAGCGCTATGAATATTGAATCTCACATGGCTGATTTACGATTACTATTACTTGATTAATGGGTTAACTATAAATCCGTCAGTGTAATATATTTCCTAATACGTAAAATTCTATAAAAGACGGTGAAAAAGTGAAATAATTCTTCACAGATCAAACTATTATATTCACTTCTCTTGATTTCTCATATTCTAAAATGAATTACTACTTGGCCGCAATTTTTGCGCTTGTTGGCTACATTTTGTACAAATTTTATATTTACCCTTATTATTTGTCTCCATTGCGTAAAATTCCTGGTCTACCAGTCGAAAGTTTCATTTTTGGCAATCATTCCTTTTTTTTAAGTAGTAAGCAAGGTGAAGCTACTGTTAACTTAGAAAAACAATATGGCAAAATTGTTCGGTATCATATCATATTGAACAAACCTTATTTATTGATTTTCGATCAAAAACTTGTCCAACAAATATTGATAAATCGTTCATACGATTTTCCAAAATTCTTCTTAAACAAAAATCTTACGAGAGATCTTGTTGGGGATGGTATTTCATCTGTTAAAGGAGATGTTCATAAACGACAGAGAAAAATGATGAGTCCTTCATTTTCCTTTGCCAATGTCAAGGTATTTTTTTTTTTTTTACATTCATCAATATTACTATCCGCTAAACATTAAAAACCATATTTCTATTTCTTTTAATTTTAAGGAAATGCTTCCAATTTTGGTTCATGCTGCCTATAATTTAAGAGATATCTGGATAAAACAAATTGGTAATAAGAACGAGGAAATAGTTACGATTACTGATATCATTTCAAATATAACGTTAGATATTATTGGTATTGCTGGTATGAATTAATCTGTATTCTTCCATAAGTACCTTAGATTTGGCCCATGACTTTTCTAATCGTAATTTTAATCAATTTAATTATTAGGATTTAATTACGAATTCAATTCTACTACTACTGACTCTGAATTGGCTCGAGCATATCGTTCAGCACTTGTTTTCAATCCTTTACTCGTTTTTATTTCCGATATTTTTCCAGTCATCGGAAAAATTCCTTATTTCAACCGTAATAAGGATTCTGTTAAAACTATCCATAATATTTCAGAACAACTAGTTAATGAGCAAAAAAATTCTACTGTTCGCGGAAAGAACTTCTTGTCTTTATTGATACAAGCAAATGAAAAATTGCCTGATGATGAAAAATTAACACATCATGAATTAGTTAGTCAGGTAAAAAAATTTATTTAACTTATGAAACTATATCCAATATGATTTTTATTTAAATTTTATAAATTATATAAACTTACTAAATTTCAGGTTATGACATTACTTTTGGCTGGGCATGAGACAACTAGTACCGCTTTAACTTGGGCATTATACTACCTCGCAAAAAATCCTGATGCTCAGGATAATCTTCGTAAA